CATACGATTTAATAGAATCTTGTACAGGAATTTGAATATATCTGATCCTTAATATCCACGAACATCTATGAATATTAATGAAATTGTCTATGAATGTTCATAAAAATGCAAAGCACATGCAACATTTCACTCGTATTAAATGAACAGCACTCATTTTTAGGTCCAATTATCGTTTTATACTTATGATTATTATTATTTATTATTATTATTATTATTATTATTATTATTATTAGTAGTAGTAGTAATGAAGGTAATAACACTTATATACGTAATATTTATTAATGTTCTAAAATTTCTTTTGAATTTTATTGAAAACCAACCTTAGCCAGATTCATGAACATTTGAGTGAGACTCAGATGAATACGAGTGAGTTAACACGGTTTAAGATTTTTTACAGCAACGCCGGTGAGAAAGCATTACGTTGCTCCTAACGCAATACAATAAATTTATCCATCTGGATAACGGAATAAATTCAACTGTTCTATGACGCAACACATTTAATTTAACTGTATCGTGACGCAACACATTTAATTTTTTCTTATCGTTACGTAAGCAACACACTCGATTCAACTGTATCGTGACGCAACACATTTAATTTAACATTATCGTGATGCAAAACAGCTAATTTAACTGTATCGTGACGCAACACATTTAATTTAGCCCGTATAGTGACGCAACACATTTAATTTAGCCCGTATAGTGACGCAACACATTTAATTTAGCCCGTATAGTGACGCAACACAAAATAAGCAAATTAGCGATGCTTTAGCTTTAATCATGTTACATAATAGGCTAATGTCACAGCCCTAGGATATCTCATATGTGTGTTCCATTTAATCATGTTCTATAGCAACAAAATACTGACTTCTCCGCATTATGATAAAGCAAAATAATGATTTCCAGTATTATGGCACAACACGATACTGCCTTTCAACATTATGGCACACCCCTCATGTCAAAATTATGGAATCTATATTAATTATGGGAAGAAAATTGCAAAGAATCGTAAATTGCCGGAAGGGCGGCAGCGTGAAATAAGGAATTAGATTAACATGCAGTTGAATAGCGTTAGGTCAGGTCACTCTCATGAATATCATCAAATAGCGTGAAGAGGCCTGATCACTCTCATGAATATCAACAAATAGCGTGAAGAGGTCAGGTCACTCTCATGAATATCAACAAATAGCGTGAAGAGGTCACATAAATATCGGCAAAACAAATAGCGTGAAGAGGTCAGGTCACTCTCATAAATATCAACAAATAGCGTGAAGAGGTCAGGTCACTCTCATAAATATCAACAAATAGCGTGAAGAGGTCAGGTCACTCTCATGAATATCAACAAATAGCGTGAAGTGGTCAGGTCACTCTCATGAATATCAACAAATAGCGTGAAGTGGTCAGGTCGCTCGCATGAATATCGGCAAATAGCGTGAAGAGGTCTGGTCACTCTCGTGAATATCAACCAATAGCGTGAAGAGGTCAGGTCATTCAAATGAATGTCGACAAATAGCGTGAATTAAAGCTTGTATTAGAATCTCTGGAATACTGCACACTAATTTCCTCTCGGGATTCAACAAAGAATATGAAAGAGAACAGAAGAAAATTCTTGAAGCTCCACTTTCCGACGAAAGATATTTCGTTAAAGATCAATTCCGAAAAAAATATCTATTTTTTCTTCACCAGTTGCTGCAAATATGGAACAGAATTGTGAAAATTTATGATTATCACTGGATTTTAATTATAAATTCTGAGCTGATAAACAGGATAATGTTTAAAAGTTACGGTGATTTTAACCGTGGAGTGTTATGGGAGTGTTATGACAATATTACAAGCGTCATTGTGTAATTACAATTACACAATGACTGTTTGAATAATTAAATTCGATTGAGGTTCAAACGTATTAGTGAACGTTTCACCTCGAATCTTTTTCATTCATCACATAAATATTAACAATCCTACCGATAAATAAAATTATTCATCGCTCAGCAATTACTTATTCTCCAATCTTCCTTCAATTTGCTCTTTTCCAATTGTCTTCCTTCAATTTGCTCTTCTCTAATCGTCTTCTTTCAATTTCTTCTCCTCTAATTGCCTTTATTTTTCTTCGATTATCTTGCTTCTCACTCGTTCGATTTTCAATGAGCCAGCAAATGAAGCGATCAAGCGCAGCCATTTAATCGCAGGCGGATATCCGGGTCGGGGAATTGATCCCCGACTGCGTTAAGATTGCCGGTGATTGCCTTTCCTCCATAGATTTGCATACAAAACATGAAGATTAATATAGAATATTATGTTGTGCATTGATGGTGGTAATTGATCCATTACAGAAATAATTTGGGTGATCCTTGCTAAAATTTTATGCTTGTGTTCCATTACAGGGTAATTAAGATTGTATTCTACCATTTAATTACGGTTATCCCTTGCAAATTCATTCAATTTTCGTGGTCCGTTAATTATATTTTTTCCGTTACAGTGTCAAGTATGATTGCCATTTACATAATTAATTTTTGCGGTCCAATAGAAAGTAAGATTTTTTGGTGCATTAAAGAATCAATTTTTGTATTGTTTCGCAGAATCAATTTTGACATTTAAAAAATCAATTTTAATGGCCATTCACAGAATTAAACTTAAAGATTTTATAATATTAATTTTGGTGTCCCTTGGCAAAATTAATTTTGCTCATAATTCACAGAAATAATTTTAGAGCTTCTTTACAGAATAAAGTATGATATTCCTTTAACAGAATATACGGCAACATATTGGTATTGATTATTAAAAATTCCCTAATATAAATAAAAATTTTAAAATTCACAACTATGCCATATTTTACTGACATAAAACGTATTTTAATGCAAGAACTTTAAATAATGTTGAATTATTAATTATAGGTTCTAATGAAACATGTTTTTTCAATATGTCAATCTTGGAGAGAAAAGTAGTAATTTTGGGAAAAGTGTCCGAAAGTTTTACGAATGAAGAAATTGAATATCTCATTTATTCTTGCGTGTTCATAACTGATAATCTGCGTTGTTCAAATAAAATCCATAATAAGTTACTGTCGCCTAAAATTAAAAGGTGAGAAACAAATATTTCAATTCCAGTTTCTATTTCAGAAGCCTCAGAAATGGTCTCCAGAGACACAAGATGGTTCCTGGTCACAGAAAATGTTACATACAATAAATAACACCTAAAATTCAAGTGAAATTTTCAAATTAAAGTAACTCTGATTGAAAACTATGGGCGTGTCAGAAGAGGCCAACCACTTATACATGAATATCAACTTATAAACTAGCCATTAGTTATCAGCTCGATATTCGGTTGAAAGATTTATTCTGTTTCATTTGAAAATTTTAAAAATAATTTCCCTATAAAAATCTACTCATTAAAGTTACTTTGAGTGATCTTTATTTGTTTAAAAAGCCGATTTAATGATTGATTTTAATTTTGCATGTGAAATATATAAACCATAAAATTATTAAGCTTTGAGCAGAACTTCAAAACAGAGACATTTTATTGAAATAATTCGCTTAATTAAACCCATAAATGTGCACTACATTTAAGTTATTGCACGGTCATTGCTGCACACTCGTGTGTGCTCATTTCCTCTTGCGTACAAAATTAACTCGTGTTTTACATTGAGAACAAATAAGATAAAAATATGTTTAATTTATCCTTCAATTATATACATCTGAATGAAATATACATGGTACTAGTGAGCGCGTCGATGACTCAACATTATTACACAAGTATCTCGCATTATTTTCATACACAAACCTCTCGTATTGTATGTACAACTATATTCCATATCATATCATGTACTCAAGCCTCTCGTTTTATTGTATGTTCACAAGTCACTCGTAATATTGTATGCATACAAGTCACTCGTATTATTGTATGCATACAAGTCACTCATATTATATCATGTACTCAAGCCTCTCGTATTATTGGATGTGCACACGTCACTCGTATTATTGTATTTACACAAGTCACTCGAATTAAACACTTGAAGAGCAAACAACACAGCTTTAAAACACACAAAGTCTACTCAGACAACATTTGTGTCGTCAGAGCGGGTGTGGGCGGTAGGTGGCAGGGCATTAAAAACACAAATGTATTTAAAATTATTATCTATACACGACATTGAAAGTTCCCTTTTAATCTTCTGTTGTATATGCATATTAAATTGCAGCCTCAAAAACTCTTCACACGGCCACCATTTCAACATACGGCCACAGTACATATAAATTGAATTGTTGAACAGTTTTCAAGTTTTCCATGAGCGGAAAACAATTGCTATGTTCATAACATCTAAGGTGATCGTAAAAACGTGCTTCATGGTAGCTCTCACGAAAAAAATTGCTAGATAATTAACAACATTTGGCCTAACTATCCAATAGTTATTCTTGGGTATGAGGCCTAATAATTAAATGATATAACGCGGAAATAAGATTGTATTAAATTTTTATCCCTAATGCCGAAGGGTTTCAGTAGAAATGGGCAAAAATGCGATGTATGTTGCAATATCACTGAATAAAATCAATGAAAAGACATACCAATAAAAATGACATATGAATATAAATTTAAGTAAATGACAAAAGACGTTAAAAAAATTCTTTTCAATGTTGATTCAACCAAACGACGTTTATTTCAACGCTAATTCAACGGCAGATGGGATATTGTATTTCTAAGACAACATGTTTGGGAAAACTACTACCATTGTATGTACCACCTGAGCTGTGGTTCTGGTTGCCCCAAGCATTATTTGCTTTACTTCATAATACGATGTACTTTGCTTCTTGAATATTTCACGATATTGTTTATATACATAGCAGAATAGTTGGACACAATTTCAATTTAAAAATAACGTATAGAAGAGTACAGGTTATGTCGACTCATTTCAGAAAATTTACGTTCTTCACAAATTGATCGAGATATTATTTGAAATAATTGATTTTACTCTATTCAACTAATCCAATTAATTAATTTTTCATTAACCCGTTTATTAATAAACATATAAATTCAACTGAAAAATAAGTACCAAACTCTGTGCTGACAAAAATTGTATCGAAATTGATAAGATAAATAAATAATATTAATGTCATCAATCAAAAAGATTGACAATAGCAATTAATAAAACCAGCAATAGAAATCCATAGAACTGAATTAACTGAAATTTTTAAGATCTCAATCAATGGCAAAGCAAGAGATGTCTGCAACAATTGATCTGCAACAAACTCTTCAGTCCGCACCAACAACTTCAACGTTCTAGTATCCCAGCATTGCAACATTTACATTTGTACACAGGTAGACCGACAAATATTATATAGGTACAGGATATAGTTCATAACAAACATGGTTATAGACATGATATTGTACACATTGCATAATTGAAGATCGAGAAGAAACATGAGCAAAAGCCTGGCAACTTTAGTAGATAACAGAGACCGGCCTTCTGAGCTGTTCCACGACAGGTGGGTACCCTGGGTACAGTTGGGTGGGCATTGACTGAGGTACACCTGAAAGAGGAGTGGGTGTTGATGCTGGGGTGATGATACCAGGGTGCTGTTGCTGTTGTTGTTGTTGTTGCTGCTGTTGCTGTTGTTGAACTTGTTGTTGAATAGTTGGTGAGTGTGGAGAAGGGGAGTGCGTCTGTTGGGGCAACTGTTGAGGCTGCTGTTGACTTTGGGAGTGGAGTTGTTGCTGCGCGTTCTGTAACTGTTGTTGTTGATGGTGAACTGCTGTTCCTATAGAGGATATTCCTGAAAATAGTGATGATGCTGACTTGGAATATAGTGAAGAGTATAAAGCTGACACATGTGACATATTGGACATGCTGTTGGCCATTGACACCCCTGGGATTGTAACATTTGTGCCCGGTAAAGCCACAGAAGTGGGCATGTTCAGGTTAGACATATTCAAGTTTGGCATGTTGAGATTAGACATATTTAGGTTGGGGATGTTAACTGGACTTGCGTTTTCAGAGGAAGGTACTGTTGCCGAGATGAATGGTTTGTAGGAATCCTGCACGGCTGCCAGCTTACTGAAGTGCTGAGGATCAAGACCGGAGTAGAATGGATGGGCCAAGTGACTGGAAAAAAAGCGTGACTTGTCACCCGCGAAGTCCAGAGGGGAGGGCACGGTTGGGGTGGAAATGTAGGTCTGGTGGTAGGGTCCAAAAGTGTCAAAAGTCGTGGTGGCCAGGTAAGGTAGAGGGAAGCTGTAGCCATTCTTCTGCAGGGTTTTTGGTTTCCTTCTTGGCCTGTACTTGTAGTCAGGGTGTTCCTTCATGTGCTGGGCTCTGAGCCGCTTGGCTTCGTCGATGAAAGGACGTTTGTCGGTTTCACTTAGCAACTTCCACTCGCATCCCAGTCGCTTGGAGATCTCTGAGTTGTGCATTTTAGGATTATCTTGCGCAATTTTGCGACGCTGCATACGCGACCATACCATGAAGGCGTTCATGGGTCGCTTGATGTGATCGTCCTTTTTTGTCAAGGGGTTCGAACCTCCCGAGGGGGACAAGGAAGATGGAGACGGCACTGTGTTCATCATGGAGATGATAGGTCAAGATTTCGTAGTTTAAATCTTTAAATGTGAAACAAAAGATTCGATTGTTAAATGAATCACTGCACACTCTTGCTCAGTAAATTATTTCACCAGTGTTATACAGTTTAAAATATTCAATGGGAAATACCGTTGCACATGTTACTGCACTGTCACAACTTTTTTTTGAATAGAATACTCCGTGAGATAATCACCTTCGTCTATTGTATGCCATCATTATTTGTGACTATCACTAATGATACCCAGCATCATTTGATGTTTAATGGGCGTAAGAATGCTGGAGTGTAGACTTTGTCTTAAGTAACTGAGGGTCTCACAAGCTCCTCTCAGACGAACGTCGGCAGAATAATACGCACACCTTAGATAAGGACGTGGCAGCGCCGAATGATCTACGCCAGGTCTTACAAGGAAGACTCCAGGTCCTGGACTGCAGGACTGACCAATGATTGCTCTGGAACAGGAAGGCCCCACCTTCACGGTTCCAGGCTCCACCATTCCAGGATGCGATCTCCTCCCCCGATTCCAGCGCCGCTGTTTGCCGCGCCGCAAGTTCCCGAACCCTGGGCGTATTAATTGACGTTCGGTGGCCTCATACGCGCGTACTGCGCGTATCAAAAGCGTTAAGTGAAGCCTCGTCCAAAGTATGTGATGCCACGAGATCTCATGGATGTTTTCCTAGCCTCTATCACATGCTGCACTTTCCACAGTACAAGTTCGCTGGTCACACGAGGCGGGGCCAAAGGGCCCTCTAATCCAGACCAATTGTGCGGCGTGTAGCAAGAATGTTAGGTGGGTTAGCCACACAATTGGCGCTGGGTGCTTAGACATAACCTGACACAATAGGCCACATGATTGGCCCAAGACACTGGAACTAAACATGAGCCCCGCTTTATTTCATTGGTTAATTATGAGCAAGAACTATGGATTGTCGTTGATCCCATTGGCCGCCAGCGGGCATTCCAGGGCAGCGCTATTCTGTGCACCGGACGACCGGAGCGACAATGCAGTTATTCGCTTGTCCTTATAATTACTGTCTTTTACTGCCACGCTTACAGGAGTACTTAATATTTTACTGCCACGGCTATATCATTACAGCATTTTACTGCCACAATTATATAAGAACTGTATTTTACTGTTTTAGTCTAAGCGTCGTGGATTTTTTCTGACCATGTCATAACTGCATTTTAGTGTCACTGATGTCATTACTGACTTTTACAGTCACTGGCATATTATTACCGTATTTCACTGTAACAGTAAACAGATACAGATTTTTTATTGCTCTGGCTATTTCGTTAATGCGGTTACTGCCACTGGTATATAATCACTGCATTTACCTATCATAGCCTCATCGTTACCGCATTTACTGCCACGATGTAGCCATTATAGCTCTTTACTGCTCTGGCTATGTCGTTTATACATTTTACTGCAATTGACTCATATATTTACAGTCATCGCCACTGTAATACAATTACTGCCTATTACTGCCAAGGCTACATTATTACTGCATTGAATTATCACGATTAATTGTTCACACTATTTTACCGTCGCGGTGTAATCATTACGTCATTTTATTGTTAGACTGTGTTATTAATGCAGTTTACTAACAGGGACAAAACATTGCATTCAGTTATTGTTACTGCCAAAACATTGCGTATTTTACTACCGCTCAGAACCATAATTGTTATTTACTGCCACTGTCATAACCATTATTGTTATTTACTGTCACTGACAGAACCCTAATTGTTATTTACTGCCACTATCGAACCATAATTGATAATTATACTGCCACTGTCGAACCAAACCAGAACCCGAACTTCGAACTCGGAGAAATAATTGTGACATTGTCCAAATGATGATGCATTTCTAATTCTTTTATGGAATGCCCGGACTCTGTTCGGCACGGGAAGAGGACGTTTTAGTGTTACATCCGCCACATGCTCGTGCTTTTTGTAATAAAATGTTTCACTTTTTTGACAATTTGAGATATTGATTTTTCTGAGTGCATCACCAAATGACGAGTTATCAAACTTTTACAGGGTAAAGTCTATAATATGCACTCAGAAGAATGCATGTGTCATATTATCAAAATAGTGACACACTTGCTGTGTGTAGCACTGATACGTCTTTTGCAGGGTAAAACTGAGTCAGGATCGTCCACACAAGGGCAAGAAATGCATCGCAATTTGGACAAAGTTTCTGAATTTTTTTAGTGTACAGGTTCGCACCTTAGTGGCAAAAATAGAAGTTTGATACTAATTATTATTTTGTTCTTCAATTATATTATATTATAGTATATTATATTATGTTGTATTATATTATATTATATTATATTATAACACATTTAAGTTATTCAATAAAAGAGTAACTAACATGGTGCGCCTAAAATACATGGATTAACACCTTTAATACACATTTAAGTTATTCAATAAAGGCCAGCCCTAATATTCGAATATTACGGGGCAAAACAGAGATTTTTTAAGCGGTTACATCGCACACTTGGAGGCTGCGCCCAACAAAGGCGAGGCTCAAAGGCCTCATCAAGAGGAACACAAAGGCATCCACCCCATCCAATGTGCTCAATACACTCATGCTGCGTACATGTATCATGAGCACAATGTGTCGTGAGTACAATGTATCATGAGCACAATGTGGGCATCAATAGCGTGGCACATTATTGTGTTTCATGAGCACTGCATGTGATCAGCACAAATACAGAACATGCTTGTATGAAATTGTGTAATACCAACCACAACACATGCTTGTGTGACGCCAACACAAGACATGCTGGAATGACACATCAGCAGAACACATGCTGGTATGACACATTATTGAATTTCGGTACAATTGGAAATCAAAAAACAAAGAAAGCGTTGAAACTTTTATTGTGGTTCCGCAAAGAGAATTGGTTCGCAGAACGAAGCCAGAAGGAAACGATAAGCACGAAGCGCGATGAGGAACTCGTACACTGTAGAATACGTACGCACATTTAAATACAAGTTCGAACGTTATGAGTTTCAGAACACAATATTAATTCCAATTGAATGAGTCACTGTTTCAGGTGAATATGTCTCTCTCTCCAATTCTCACCATATATTGCCGGTGGCAACAGAACGTAATAAGCAAGGAGAAGTTCAGTTCAGAAATCAGAAACGGCAGAGTTGAAGACCAAGTAGAGGCGGTTGGGTGGATTCTTATCTGTATAAGACAGAAAACCAACTTAAGCCTAAAATTAATAGATTCAAAGTTATACCGCAATGGATTTCAGTATGATTCAAGAATAATACAATTCAGAATAATGATAATAGTTTCAAATAATCAAAATGACAAACCTATTTGTTTCCGTTGAGGAACCCTAGACAAGAGTTCTCATGTAGAGAACTATTAGGAAGAAAATAGTGAAAACAGTAATAGGAGTGTTCGCTCGTACTTAAAGAGAGTAAAGCGCATGCAAGCATGCAAGTTAATTCACAGCACTGGGCATGTGACATAATCGGTATACACCGAAGCTTCAAGGAGCCAATAACCCATTATATTATATTATATTATATTATATACTTAACTAATCAGCATCTATTCTTTAAATAAATGACGTCTGGTGAAAAAAAGTGCAACCGGAAAATAATGACTTGTAAGCGGAACAAAAAAGTCTACGGTAATCCAGTCCAGATTTTCACAATCTTAAAACATGCTGCCACAACATCATGCTGCCACAACATCATGCAGCAACAACATCATGCAGCCACAACATCATGCAGCCACAACATCATGCAGCCACAACATCATGCAGCAACAACATCATGCTGCCACAACATCATGCTGCCACAACATCATGCTGCCACAACATCATGCTGCCACAACATCATGCTGCCACAACATCATGCTGCATTTCGTTGTATAACATACAATTATTCATTCTCTGTTGCATCCAATTTACGAGAGTCCTGGTTCCAGTGCGCATTTTGCCGAATGAATGCGTTATTTATTACAAATTAATTTCCATATATAACTTAATATTTTCGTTAATTAAAAAAATTAATTTGAATTTAAAACTTAAACATACTTTTTATTCTACGGCCGTCGGCTCTCCAGCGTAATGTTTCCATTCGTTGCCGTACTTATAAACAATGGCCAGACAATCTGTCTTGTGTCTTTTAAATTATAATTGTCTTTCCATGCTAAACGCCTTTACTCACAGTTAAGTTATTTAATAAAGGCCTAATGCACACAACGCACCTTTTAAGCTCCGATTAACACCTTTAATGCATAGTTAAGTTATTTAACAAAGTCCTAACGCAAACCGCGCACCTATTAATCTCCTATTAACGCCTTTGATACACATTTAAGTTATTTAAGAAAAGGCCTAACGCACACAACGCACCTATTAAGCTTCGATTAACGCCTTTAATACACATTAAAGTTAATCAAAAAAGCGTAACGCTCATGGCGCGCCTAAAATACTTGGATTAACGCCTTTAATACGCATTCAAGTTATTCAATAAAAGCGTAACGTTCACTGTGCTCCTAAAGTACCTGGATTAACAACTTTAATACACATTTAAGTTAATCAATAAAAGATTAACGCTCATGGTGCACCTATAGTACTTGGATTAACACCTTTAATACACATTTAAGTTATTCAATAAAAGAGTAACTAACATGGTGCGCCTAAAATACATGGATTAACACCTTTAATACACA